AGTGAGGGTCCATCGGACTCTGTAATAATTTTAGGTAGTGCTAGGATTTCATCTTTGATAATACACCTAATACACACTACAAACCATGAAGAAAATATTTAATATGTCATGTTTCTTTTATTCAAACAATTCAAATCTGTTACCAAAGATGGAATTCCTTATTGAAGTTCCTGAATTTGAAGCTTAATCTGTTGATGGGCCAGCCAACTTGTGTATTCCAATGCATGTTTAATAGGAATGATTGACAATTGTGGAGTGGAAAAACTGATCTATCCCACCCACGGCTTAAGAAAGATTAATAGGTAAATAGGTAGAAAAACACATAAACCTCTGCAGTTGTTTTTTCCTCTCAAATTTTTGTTCCTGTTTTGTTGGTGGAAACAGGAAAAAGAATTTTCTTTAGGAAAAGTCTCACAGGTAAAGCTGAAGATTCTGTCAGATGATGATGTTTAAATGGAAAAGAAGAAATAATTATGAAACATTAATACAGGAAGAAGCTTCCTCTTTTGCTCCACAGTAGTTAGTCTTAAAAAAAAATTATACTTATTCCTGCATGTCAAGGAAAATTATATAGTTTTTTATGACTTAGATACTTAAAAAGGAGAAAAAAAAGGAAAAAGTAAAACAATAAAAAATTCAAAAACTGAAGAAAAAATACAAATCTCATACATAAGATGACTTTTCCTAAATACAATTGTAGCAAAAAAAAGACATTTCTTAGTAGTTACCATCTTTTCATGTACACATTAATTTTTTTCTCCACTAGTTAGAAGGGAATTACAGTGAAAGATTTTGATCCACCAATAGAAGCTGTTCCAGACTGTGGTAAGCAGTTGCTTAGCTCTTTCGTCTACCATGTGAATGTTAAGTACATGGTACAAGGTATTGCTTATACTATCTCCTTTAGTAGGTTGGAATAATCATCAGATACTAATCCAAAATTAGCTACCTCAGAGGCTCGCGGGGTGGGCAGTCATTTGGCATGAGAGATCCTAGTGAGGTATGCATTTTAAGAATCTGGCACCCAAATCTAGAAATTTGTATTCTTATATTAAGTTCATGAGAACTGATAATCTTAGTATGCTACACAAATAAGTTGTATTTTACACACAATTGGTCAAATAAAATAGCCTGAACTTCAGTTTTGTTTAAGCTTGTATCAAAACAGAAAGTAAAATAACAAAATATTTATTAAAAATTGTTCATAAACAGATACGAGGTTTAAGAAATAAAAAAGTATATAATTCCTGAAGAAAAACATTCCATTTAATTTTACCTGACAAATTTTTTCTGTAGCAGATACTGAAACTTGTATCAGAACTTCCATAATACACTGCCATCTTGCAGTCTGTATTTCCCATACTCCTATTATTTTTGTGTGCAGAGGCCTTTCAGTAATCAAGCTAGATGGAAAATTTTAAAGATATAATGGAAGGTGTTGAATACATGTTTTCAAGAGGAATAAAAATAGAATAAAATCATAGGCTCACCTCTAACAATTTCTATAGGATTGCATGCATTTTTGCTTCAATCTGTAGGAAGTATCTGGTTTCAGGTAACAGATGATGTATTACAAAGATTTTGAAACAGTTGATTAATAATTAACATGAAGCACTGTACTTATACCAAAGAGAGGTCTGATATTCTTTCCACTGTTCAGCATTAATATGGTCCATATCTTCCTTTTCTTAACAACACACTCTAAGAAAACATAGGACTTGAAAGTTGAAGAAAAGAGGCCTATTTTCTGAGATAATCCAAATCCAACATAAACAGAAGAGATTTTCATTTGAAAAAATACATGTAGATAAATGTGGTTTTTTAAGTAGCCCCATTGAACACTTGCATTATATGAAAAGCAATGAATATTTTTTTCTAATAGTCATCTTTCTTAAAGGATTGTTATTCTTAGATTTTTGATGGGGAAAAGAAAGTATTACCTACAGTGGTTCATGACCCAAAAGAAGATGCTAATATCTAAGGCAATTAATTGATATGATGATAATCAATGTGTAATAAAATACTAATAAACACATTTGTGATTATGCCTTTATTGGAAAAAGGTATGCCTTCTTTAATTATCAAAAACTAGAAATTTCATATCGTTTTAACACTGCACTGATACAGTTGCAAATCTGATCCTACTTAAGTGGCAAATTAAGCTGAGGAAACAGTAAATGCTGAGTGTACATCGAATATCACTCAGAGAATACAGCAAACAAACTCAAAAAGCAGTTGTTTTTCAGGTATAGTGATTTTAAATGGTACTTTTTTTGTAGGAGACTTTTAACAGTCAAAATCTGTTTTTATCAAATAGATTCTGACCTGACTAAATCAGTTACATTTGGAGAAACACCTTGTTTCAAGTGCTGCTTCATAATTCAAAAGATTCAAAGTAGAATTTTATGTAAAAATATTTTTAGTTTGAAATGCACATTACTCATATACTGCATAACAATTTGGCCTTCTGACAAATAGAATATGTTAAGTAAATACTGTTGAAACCTGGAAGATCTTTTGAAAAATAAGATTATTGTTACCTTAGAAATGTGTGAAGAATTACACCAGCAATTAACAAGGGTAATTATTTCAACCAGTACAGAAATGTATCACTCTTCAAGTCTCAGATAGTTTCAGCATTTTATTTAGAAATTTGAAATCATCTGTTATGTACAAAAAATGATTTTAATAATAAACTTAAGCAACCACAGTTCACCATCACCATTTGACCACCATCAGAGAAGCAATGTTTAATTTGATGTAGCATTCATGTTTAATGCATCTCTGCATCTTACACAAGTTAGCTGAAAAGCTTTAATTTAATTTATTTGGTGAGTATTGCCTTTTTCCTTAATTTCATATTCAGGAAGATAGTGTATAGAAGAGAAAGACTATAGACTACTGTGCTCTAAAAAATCTTTTGCAGAATTATATTAGAACCATATAACTTTTGCTTGGAAGGGATCTCTGGAGGCTGTCTAATCCAGCCTCCTGTTTCAAGAAGAACTTCTGCTTCCTCTAAACCAGCTATGACTATATACAACAAAGACCTTGAAATCTCTTGACAATTAAGTTTCCATAGATACTTTAGACACTGCATCTCAGTGCTGCACTACCTTTCAGAGTGAAGAAGGTTTTCTCATTATCCAAATGTCATTTAGGTGTTTATTATTCATATTTACTTTTACAACCTACATGGTGATCTTCTTAACATACTTAGTTGTCAGAAAAAATGAGGGGAAAAAACAGATACATGCCTTTCACTTTTTCAGGAGACCGTGTCATGGGAATCTTTGGAATAGTTTTTGTGATGTACTTTTGTTAACATATGGTCAAGCCTTACAGTTAAGAAAAGTCACTGGTCTTGACTACTTCCAGCTCATGCTGTCTGGAAAACAATTTGGTGCAACAACACCCTAACGCATCTCCAAGTACTTTTTTTCTATACATATATCTGTGCAAACAAAACCATAGATTCTTAATATGCTGTTGCATAAGTCCATTTCCAAAAAGATATAACTCCTTAGCTTTAATGGCCTTTGAATCAAGACATTAATCAAAAAATCAGGGGCCATTTTTTCCTTTACAAGATTGCTTTCATATAGAAAAATAATAAAGCTTCTGTATATTCTGTAGTCTTTTTTAATGAATAAAGAGTCATGGAATCTGAGCCTGCAAGAAGTCCAACTTCAGGTGACATTTCAGTACTTAGAACCTATAATAAACAATTACTTTAGAATCTATAGAACATGATTCAGCCCTCATAATATCATGTATGACAGCATGAAGATAGTTATCCTCAGCACAACATTTCCCTTCAGGAAATCTGAATACATGAGTGGTCCATAGACAGGAATGCCACCTCCCATCCATCTCTCCGGAAATAATATATTACTTACACACACCTGTGTAACATGAGGCAGTTAAAATCTCCAGATCTTAATCTTCATTTCTTTATTAACTCATGGAAATACTTACCTTTTGTGAACAGTGGCATCTAAAAATCTACATTTTTGATTTAGTAATGTTTTACATTCAGCCTTAAGCCATATGATACATTGCTGTGGAACACTGAATGAAAGAAACAATCTGTCCTTAACTGTTGCTCAAGAACCTTTCCTCTGTAAAATATGACAGGGGTTTCTTTCTGTCCTCCAGCCCAAAAATCCAGGGTGTCTGGATTCCTATAAACTAGCCCAGAATCAGCAGCCTGTAACCTTGCATCTTATTAAGTTTCATAAAAATTTCAGATATCTCTGGGGTCTGATCTAGCAGATATATTCAAAGGATATTTGACACACAAGCTCTTTTTAAAAGTGCAGTGGCAACAACCTTCCACTTAAAAAGAACATGATTGCATAGACTACTAGTTAGGCCAAACCTTTCTGTTTTACATGTCATATGAACTGTATGAACATCCTATGCCACAGGGATGGGAATCCATAATATTCTACTCCCCAAACAGGGTTTATAACGAAGATACCAAAGAATTCATCTTGTTTGGTCTCCTTGGCCAAGAAATATGCTTTTTTTTGGTTTGGTTTTGGTTTTTTTTTCACAATACACAGTTTGAGCAGGGAAAACTGAGAGGAAGTAGCAGATTATATTTGAAAGTATAATTTTTGTTGATAAGTCTTAGAATGGAACCATTTAATATGTACTTACCCAAATACATGTCATCATGGAAGTGTTGTGTTGGCTTAGGATTTTGAAAAATACAAAAATGCTGAGATGCCTCTTAATTTGAAACTAAAAATAGTAGTAACTTTTTGAACTTATAAAATTAATGTCATAGTTTATTTTAAAATGTAAGTTTATGCTAGCATTCCATAGGATTTCTTCATATATAAAACGTTTCAGACTTCTTTCTATTTGAAAAATTAATTATGTACGCTTCTGTAGTTTATTTAGCAAATAATCACTGGAAGATTTTTAAAATAAAAACTGGAAGAATTTTTAAAATTCTTAACTTGTTAAAAAAATTATCTGAAAATGAAATAGTCTGGATGAAATGTTCTACAAAAACAAACAGCCAAAGTTACAATAAATAACATTTGTCCTTGAAATATTTCCACTTCTTTTCTGTACTCAACAATTCCAAAGCACAAACTAAAAGTAATAATCTAGGAAAAGTAGTCTTACCAGTACTAATACATGAAACATACTGTGAATGTTTTGAAGTTAATGTCTTAGAACATGAAACTTTGGTAAATATTTTATGAAATGTGCTGTGCATATGTACTTGCACTCCATCTTGATGAAGCTGAATAAATAACAAAAAATTCTTCATCACATCCTGCTTTCATAGAGCTGAACAGCATCTGGCCTTTTATTTTATTCCTCAAGGTTAGCTGCTTTCCATTAGACTGTGGCTCTTTAGAATTTGTTCTGTTGTGTCAAAAAACCAAAGCTGACTCTTAGGAGATGTGCAAGAAAGAAAACACCATGCTTTATCTTCTCAATATGGCAATTATCTTCCCCATATTGGTTCCAGCTACAGTTCACTTGTGTTTCAAGGAACAGAAACATTAGCTCCTCAAACAACAATTACATAAGCTTCAGAAAATCAAAAAAGGGACAATCTTTTGACTTATAATACAAGATCATCTTTCCTGTCTCGCATCCCAGAGGGTGCACCAATCATCAAGTCTCAGAGGAACTGATCGCTGAAGGCAATATACACACTGCAAAACTTCTCCAAGGAGTAATTTCAATTGCAACAGTAGATTATAATGTCAGAGGGCTGTCTACAGCTGAGCCTGAAGTTCATTAATGGAAATGCAGGTGTTCTGTGTTAGGGAGCACAGGAGAAGACAAACGTGTCAGTCCTACCAAAATTTCTCAACTGATCTTTTGAATTTAGGCGAGTGTTTGGTTGGGGTTTTTTATCTCATGATGATTTCAGTATATCTACATGAAACTTGCAGACTTTTGGTGCAACTGATAAAGTATATTGCTGTAGACAATGGCATCCTCAGAATGATAATCCAGAATCCCTTCTGATGACGATTTTGAAATCCTGTCTCCATTTTCCCCTTGCCACTATTACTTTATCCTGTGAAATAATGTCTTATTTGTGGTAAATAACCTTTTTTATTAACACACCAGAAATTGAACTTTTTAAGATGGTTTCCCATCCTGGTCAAACTTATTTGTTTCACTTTAGCATAGTATAAAACTAGTAATCTCTGTGTAGGTAAGTGGAACGTGGCATACATCTTCTATTTGGGGTCAAACAAGGAACATTTTGGTCATGCAAAGGGAGGCAAAACCTGATCCTCAAATTGCAATCAGAGAAACAATGACTGTGTGTTAAAAGGTTTTGGTTTCGAATCTGCTAGGTTTGACACATTACTGCCAATAAGAACTAGAATATAATTACAGAAAGGTTGATCTGTCACTCTAATAGATAAGTATATGTAAAAATATTAGGCCATTTCTGAATAGACAAATACCCTAATTTATGTGCGAATTTAGAGGTTTTGCTGGATAGGGATTTTGGGGTGTGGTGTTGGGATTTATTTCTGTTCAGAAGCTTGGAGAGGCATCACTTGCAGGCAATATAATCAAGTATTAGTACTAAAACTCTGTGTGAAAATTACCTGTAGTGGGAAGAAAAAGAAGGAGAAATGCATTTGTCTTCTATGAATTTGATGAGAGCAGCTTAAAATAAGGAAGCACAATAAATTGTTTTAATACATTTATTTAGGAAACAGGTCTCTAGTGTTACTTAATATATTTTCTTCACTGAAATGTGAGGCGAAAAATGGTAGTGTTGGTTACCTCGAGGTGCCCTAGCAACAATAACATAGCTGCCACCTACAGCAGTGTGCTTGACGAAGCACTGTTCTCACACTCAATTAAGCTATCATGTTGACAGGAGAGAAATGGATCCACTTTGTTGCAGACTGTCAAACATGCTTTGCCTTCCAACCTCCATTATTCTATCTAAGTAAAATATATCAAACCACTTAACTGTGCCTGTCACTGGGAAAAAAATAAAATAAAATATGAGAATAGTTTTAACAAGGAAAGTTCTGAATACCCTTCCCAACTTTCTGCAAAAATTAGTAATATTACAGACACATTTCCAATTGTTATAATGAAAAAGTTCCAAGGAACTTTCAGAAAGAGATATTGCATCCCTCTTTCTTATGTGTTGCCTTTCTTATATCATAATTTTATTTTTATCAGCAGATACTGATTTTCTTCTGCTGAAGTATAATCATATAAGGTCAAAATTTTGTCCTTTTTTGTTATTGCAATATAAAGTTTCCTCAAAGCTAGAAAAAGCACTGTATGAATGTAAGGCTATAGGCAGATTCCTCTCTCCTCATTATACAAACTCTCATTACATGGCAGTCCTGTTGGGACTGATGGTAGGAAAGTGGACAGAGAGCCACATTCTAGTGATTCCTGGATACTGCCAAACCGCTTGTGGTGTTACAGACTGCCACAGAGCACAGTTGCCCTTATGTGATGAAAGGCATGAAATTCCCTGCTGAAGGAAAGCTAAACGGTAAAGGTCTCTTTAATCCTGCTGAGCAATGCTCTGATACAGTTGTGTTACTGACTTGCTTTGACATTAATTTAGCTCACTCTTCTTTCTGATGCTTTGAGACTGCAACAAAGAAGAATGTTTTGCCACACAGTTGTCCTCAACATTCTGCCAAGTAACTGTTAGCAGCTAAGCAAAGTGACATCTGTGCATGTGGCAATTGTCTTTAGTCTGAAGCTATTTCTCTTAAATCTAAGCCTGAGGGCTTGAATCATCATTTCCCTGCATCTTGCCAATTGCAGGGTGTTATTTTTGCACCCATTTTTTGTTTGGAAATAACTACTGAAATGAAAGACACTGAAAAAATAAACTCTTTATCAAGTAGCATTTATATTTTTATTCTGATTTTTTTCCTCTACACTAATTTGAGCTCTCTGAGAATTTGAAAAAGTACAATTTAAGGGGTCTGATTCAGTATTCAAGGCTTTCTAGCATTACTACCATTGAATTAATTCAATTTTTCATTCCATCCTAATTATTCAAAAGAATAAATTTACTTGAATTTTTTTCCTCTGTGAGAGTAATTTACTTAACTAGAGACATCTAGTGTCATTTTGATGCTCTAAGCCATCCCACCTGGGCTCCAGCTGCTCCTCCAGATCCAGAAACGGGTTTCCATAGGTTCTATGGCAGGTCTGTGAAACCCATTCATGTCTTGAAAATTCAAGTACATCTAAAATAACACTAGATAACTAAGTTAATGCAAAGTTATTGTAGATGCATTTTCCCTTGTCTCACCCACAAGTAATACTTAGCTGCACAAGTAATACTTAGCATTGTCTCTACTTGTCCAGAATAAAGATAACAATGAAACAAATATGTGGTCACCACATTTACTCTTCCTAATCCTGCAAAATAGACAGGCTTTCTGAATAACTTATTCTCATATATAGAAAGATGAAACAATACTTATTCTCTAATAACTGAAATTTTGATTTTTGTAAACCAACAAGTTTGACCTCCATAACAAACAGAGGATACCTCAAAAATAATAAGAAAGTTGATTTGTTAACAGAGACAACATGTGGTCAGATCTTCAAGTTGCAGAAATTAGTATAGCACCATAAAAGTTGTTATCTCTTGCAAATTTGAAAAAAAAATGAGAATCTGACTTCCATTTATAGTGTAAGAAATTTGTCTGTCAGAAACTTATGTACAAAGAATATGAAGAACTCACTTTTGTATATACAAATAGGTAAGACATGAACAGTAATATGAACTAAAGAATATATCTTTTTACTTTGAGTAAAGACTTCAATGCTAAATTTAGCATAATATGCAGACATGTAGTAATAAAGCTGATCTTTCACTTTACAATTGAGAATTAGAAAAAAGAATCATGCATAGTCAGTTTACAAAAGATTTGCTTAGAGGAAGATAAATGCAGGTCAGAAATTTTCTTTTGGCATCATGTCAGTCATGCACAGAGATTGAATGGCCTTACTGCACTCAGGATAAGATGCTTCTGTCCACATGTCAAGAGTGAGAAGCATTGTGTTTAATTCCCAAATAGTTTTAAACTTGTGCATGCAGAAGTTGCTGCCTTCTATAAAAAGTGACCTTTAAGAAAAAGACATTTTAAAAAATCTTTATTTCCTTTTCATTAACAGGGAAAAGTTCCTTGATAAGCTTGAAAAGCCTCCAGGAATAAGCTTTTTCTTTTCTTGTGAGTTGGAGGAAAAAAAAAATACAAAATTATACAGAATAAATAGTAAATATAAATCTAGCAAGAATTCATTGCAAAAATAAACCTGCAGTGTTCTATGTTTTTTTAACTTATTTTCCCCACAACACTTTATTTTCTTCTAATTTCAGAAAATATATTTTTGTACAAATAACTAAATATTATTATTCTTCCTCATGTGTGTGTATTGTTGCAGTTATTCTGTCTGAGTGTTGCTTTTGGGTAGGGTAGGAAAGGACCTGTATTTGCACTTGGAAGTTCCTAGACACAGCAAACTCATTTTCTCCAAGAATATTTAAACCAGCACAGAAGTTATTTATATACATGTGTGTATATATATAAAAAATCAAACTTATTAAACACAGTAACATATTTACAGCTGATTCTCAGTAGCCTTTCAAATTGCCCAGGATTATGAGTTGAAACACCAGTGATGCACAATATTTTATAGCAGCAGATCAAGAAAAGATTGTCCAAACTTAAGTAAAGCTATCAGATAGAGAAAGTAGCAAAAGGCTTGCTTTTTCTTCGTTGAAGACGTTGGATAAACATAATTACATATTTTTCCTTCCACATATGATACAGAATGCACATGATGAAGTTTTGTGTAAAATACTTAAATATTTGCAGGCTCTGGGTGCACACACAAAAATATTTTATCTTTTTTTCTTTTTAATTGACATTTAGTATGAAAACATTTCAACTCCTGTCATATTTATTGTAAGGGTATTTTAGGTGTAGTTGTAGACAGTGGTCGTGTATGCAGTGCATGTACTAACCTAACAAATATACTCTAGCCATATAAATACAAACACAAGTATTGGGGTTTTTTGGGTTTTTTTAAGGAATCTAATTAAATGTGGGGTAAAAAAAGAAAGAGTAAAGGTAATGAATATTTTTCCATAGATTGGGTACAGAATGGAATGCCATACACACCTTTTCAAAGTTATAAGGAATATTGCAATAAGCAATCTTCCTCCCACAGTTCAATCACACAAAATTCACGTTTAATTTGAGGTGACACATATTTCCTGCGCACAATCCCATGGCTTCCCACAGTGATCCCTGAGTTTTTCTTTGCTAGGATTACTGCTGTGCTTAAGTTCTGACTGTTGACATATTATAAGGCACTTTTATTTACAATGGTTCCAACTTAAAATAGAATTACAGAAATTCGGCCCCAGCCCAAAATATTATCACTTCATGTTTGTTGCTCCAGGACTTCCAGGTAGTCAGGCTCAGCATGTAAGTTAGCCTTGAGTTCAAAATACTCATTTTTAGTTTGTTCTAGAAAAACCTTTCTTGGCCTGGAGTACATGAGCGTCTCCATTAGCTTCAGCTCTTCATGTGCTCCAGGATAATGAACTTCCATGTCAGGCTGGAGCTGGACAATGTTTTTTCTTAGGTACTCTGTGATCCCTAGTTGCTGGAGTTCTCTCTCTTTTTCAAGAATGTTTCTATACAAGCAGCTAGCATCCTGAAAAGACAGAAATTCAGCAGATTGATCTGTAGCCTTATATTTGACATTTGGACCTGTAAGCGGCGAACTGTTCTCTCTTTCCAGGAGACTTCGGCGAAGATATTTGGAATCATTAGCTTCCTTCTCACTTCCCTCCTCCTGTTGTTGCTCAGTATGCTTGGGGCTGAAGGATGGGCTGCGGTAGACCTGAACCATGGGGGTAACCATACGTTGCTCATAGAGAGTTGCAGCTGGGCGCTCTGTTGTGTGGTGTGTTGTCTTATGCCCGTACATGCTGTATTGCAGGTGAACCGGGCTACTGTCCCTCATTTGCTCATCCACCTGTTTCTTTTTGCACCTTCGTCGCCGATGCAGAACAAGAACAACTATTCCTGCTGCGCAAAATACAATAGTTATAAACACAATGAGCAGTCCTAATATTAGAACAGAAAGTGGGACAGCATCTGTAAGGGACCGCAGGATGGTATCTGCAGTGTTGGCAGTAGGAGAAGAAGTTGTCACAACTACAAAACTAGCATGAGTTGGTAGGGCAGGGTTGTTTATTAAACCTGGACACAAGACTTCACTGTTTAGGGATTTTAATTCCTTTTTTGCTAGATGCCCTGGAGATTTACAAAAAATATCACCCATCATGGTATTCTTACTCAGTTTTTGTATCCATTTTTGCAGCCCAACTGAATCACAGGTACAGTCCCAAGGGTTGTCTTCAAGTTCAATTTGCACCAGCATATCCAGCTCATCCAAGACATTGCTCACAGGCAAATGAGCAAATTGGTTTGTTTTCAGATTTAATCTAGTAAGGGGAATACCTGAAAAGATATGGGGTGGCAAAGCCTGCAGAAGGTTGTTATTTAAGTACAGGACTTTCAGTTTTGGCATTGCATTAAATGTCCCTGGCAAAACTTCTTTGATGGCATTATATTCAAGGTACAAGTACTCAAGGTGCTGAAGACCAAGAAAAAGATTCTGGCTTAACTTTGTAAGATGATTGCCATTGAGATATAATTTCTGTAGTCTAGTCAGATTCATAAAGGAACCTTCCTCAAGGATTTCAATGCGATTATTCCCCAGGTGAAGCATTTCCAGGCTGGTATAGTCCACCAGATCTGATTTCAGTAATGTCTGAATAATGTTTCCAGCTAGAATAAGCTTTTTAGGATTTGAAGGAGGGGGTCCTAAATCAGACAGACTTTCAATATTTCGCTCCTGGCAGTGCATAAGAACTCCTGAGAGCATATGGCTGGTGCAGTGACAGGGGACAGGGCAAGAGATTCCTGGAAACGAAGTAGGCTTTGAAGTGTGAAGCACTAAACTTGGTTCTTTAGTAGGAGCTTTCAGAAGAGGAATCACCTTAGTCGATAGGTGACTATCACTGATAGAGGTGGTTACAACCAGGGGCAGTGACCCTGAAGGATCTTCCAGTTCATTGACAGGATGAGTGGGACAAAGTGATTCTTTTTTCAACCGGCTTAAGATGCTGCCTTTAATAACTGAAGGACTATTGCATACAATATCACCTATTATTGACTGAGGAGGCATGTTTTCTAGCCATATCTTCAGCTGCAACAAATCACAGTTACAGACCCATTTATTGTCTTCCAGCTGAAGGTCTAGTATTCTACCAATGTGTTCCAAAAGGCCAACATAGGGCAGTGTCTGTAACTGGTTTCCACGCAGATCTAAATGGGTCAATGGCACAAAACGAAATATGTTTGGAGGAAGAGACTCAATGGCATTGTCATTCAAAATAAGCACTTTAAGCCTGTTGAGCTTGCTAAAGGCACTTGCTTCAATCACTGTGATGAAATTGTTGTCTGCTTGAAGAAACTCCAAATTTTCCAATCCATTAAATGTATCTTCTTTAAGTGTTTCTAAAGAATTGTGATTGATATGAAGTTGTTTAAGAAGGCTGAGACCATTGAAAGCCCCAGGCTCAATATCTGCAATATTGTTAAAACCAAGATGTAGAGAGATAGCATTAACAAGGCCAGCAAAATCATTCATGTGTAACATACTCAGGCCATTGTTTAACAGATTAAGATGGAAAGGCCGTGATGGTGGGACATTTATTTCTGATACCGTCTTGATGCCTCTTTCATCACAGTTTATAATAATGGTATCATCCTTTTCTTCACAGGAACACAGACTCTGACAAGATCCTCTGGCTGAAGAAAAAGAAGACTGTGACTGGAAAGGATCAGATGCAACCACAACTGAATATAGAATAAAAATCCAAAGCTTCATCTTGTCCAGCAGATTCTAATAAAAAACATAAAAAGAAAAAAAAAAAGGAAAAGTAATAGAGTCATGATTTCACAAGGTTTGGGTTGTGGGTTTTTTTCCCTGGGGCAAGAGAGAGAAAAAGTATTCCTAATGCTTGTCATTGAGGTACCCCATCTTGTAAACAATATTATGTTATGCAAAGCAATTGAATTATTTTCTAATATAAGAATATATATTTAGTTTAATGTACTGAATCGATAAACAGTCATAAGAGGAGATAATCAGGAGTGTGTTCTCTTATTTATATACTATACAGACCTTCAGTGGACAGCAGTAATAAGTTACTGTTCCAAGAAACTTATATAGAAACTAATATAATATTTTGGATCATTGCTTTGGGTCACCAAAGCACTGCAAATTTTAAGAGTACCTTGCTAAGCTTAACTTAATGTTATCCAGCTGCTGATGAGAAGAAATAAGATTTAGTTTGGTTCAACAATGTGTTGTGAACACAAACCCATTCAGTCAGGATACAGGGAATTTCCTTTGGTTCTGCATTATGTATGGAAATCAAAATGCATTTCCTCTGCAGTCCTTGTACCCACAAACTCAAAAGGAAGTAGAAAAAATAATCATTTTTCTTTACTTAAATTTTAATGCATATATTGTTGTTTGCAAATATTTAGTGAAAGAGGGACCACAACACATAGTCACGTAACGTTTGCATATAATATACACATAAAAAAAATTGTATACACAATTAAAGAAAAAAGAAGAGAGAACTGGCAATGTAGTACATGTCAGAAGAAACAAGTAAGCAAGGACAAATTTGTTTTGAAATTAATATTAGACTCCTTCTGATTATTATAAACATCAATTATCACAAAAGTTCTGAAATGTATATGGAACTGACTGTGCTTTAAAATTAAAAATTATCACCAGTGTCACCCATATGATATGTAATATGATTATTACCTTTCAAGCTGATCTTGAACTTTGCAATACCTGGTAAATGCATCATTACAATACAACTATGGAGTCACAAATGAAATTTAGATGTTTAAAGCAATCACTTATAATTGGTTTGAACTAACTTGTGCTACACTCCATTAAAAGATTCTCTGTTTCTTTCTGTCAAGGCTGCCAATTAGCAAGAACAATAGTAACTCTTGATATATGACGTAGAGTGAAATCACTGTTTATAATCTTTAATTAAATATTTACACATATCCTAAAAATTAAAAAAAAAATTAAAAAATCTTAAAAGGGAATGGATGATTTATAAATCAGTAACTTTTATGGGCTGTGATATTTATTTGAGGATTCTCAAGGAATCTATCTAAGCAGGATTCTTAAGTAATCCATCTAATAAATGTAAGTTGATCTTTCCAGCTAAGCTATTGAAACACTGAGTACAGAATATCACTACACAACCAGTTGTGTTAATTTCTGAAAGATCAGAACTTTTTACGAGGATCAATTCAGTTACATGCCTGAATATTCTTTTAGTGTGGCCACATGATTTGGCATCTCATCAATCCATATTTTAATTATCATATACCTTGATTACTGGAGACAACATTTCTCAAGGCTTCCCTGAGAACAGATTGCAAAGATTTACACATGCAGGCATTTAAATGCTGTGGCATGAGTATTACATACACACATACAGAAGGAACAACAGCTAATGTATGCACAGTGAATTATGTTTTTCTCCATTAGTAGCTCCTGATAAGTGAGAGTAGAAGCATGAGTTTAGAAGTTGCAAGTGCAATTCATAGTGTGAGAAAGTGTCCCTAAAAATAATCTGGTTGCCTATGTTTAATATATATGCCTTTAAGTCTCTTTTCCTAAGAAGTATTGGATAAGACACAACATGTCAAGATGTTATTTTGAAGTATGCAGAATAATTCCAGGATCATATTATGCTAGAGATTTATTTTTGCTTTACATGTATCACTACCCTTCCCAGTGACCCACGGTAAAAAACATAAGCTCTAGACACAGATGCCAGCTTCAAACCAAATGTATAACTAATTCAACTTTATTTCTGTACTTTTCTCATCAGAAATTCCAGCGTCAACCTGCATCAAATTCAAACTGCACTTATAAAGTCCCTGAGCAAAATTAAATCAAAAGAAAAAAATAATAACCTGAAAGGCATGTTGCATTGTAGTGCATTTTGAGAAATTAGGTTATAAAAATGAAAGCCCTCCTCTCAGAGATGAAAGTAACAACATTTGTAACCAATTGGAAAACATTCGCATTTTAATCATCGTCATACTTTTGTGAGCAGCCAGAACTCTCACACACACATATACACACAATAAAAATTAATAGGAAGGTTGTATTCTTTTTTCCTCTTTCCCAGCTTTTTTTCTTTTTCTGAACACTCAGAAATATGTAATGAAGTTCTCAGTGGGCTACTATTGTAAAATAAAAACTCCTTTCAAATAATAGATGATTAGCATTTAACTGAAAGAATTCAGAATAAAATAAAATTTAATTTAGAATTCTTGACAAAGCTGACCTTTTTTTATTCTACGTGGTGAAGTTTTTCAGAAAGTTCTACATGGTAACATAAGCTTTTTTTCATTTTATCTGCTTTCATCTAAGTCACTGCTGACTGCATACTGTAACTAAGGTCTGTAGGAATTCTAGAAGACTAAAAAATGTCATAGTCTTTTCTATGAGGCAAAGTTGAATACTTTCAGAAGTAGTCACCTTACAGCAAAGACATCACATGCTTGATAAGTAATAATTTATGTGTTTTTACAACATTGAAATAGTTTGTTTCATTTGTTGGGTTTTATTTGTTAGTTTGTTTTAACTCAGCTATTTAAAAAATGTATGCTGAAGATTTTCAAAGCCTCAAGCTAAGAATTGGTAATTTATGAAAGCCTTCAGGATTGTTTATTAAATTCTGAAGGGAATCACAGTCAGATGATGCATTTAAGACCACTCTTGCACTTGAGGAAATAAAAACAAACACCCATTTCTCTTCCCTCAAGGGATTCGAAAACAGCGTTTCCTTAATACACACATTCTCCACAGTTAGCAGTTTGAATAAACGTGCCTGGCAAACTGTTTAAAATACCATACAAATTGCCATGCTTTAATATAAAAGTTATACAAAGTCATGAAGAAAAATAAATTCAACTTGCACTGAGAAATTAAATTCTCATGTGCTAAGCTAATTAAGTAAACTGGAATCTTTCTTACCTGTACAGCAGTAACACTCCCTGAAACACTCAGCAATGCACAGTTGGAGCGGCTGCTTCAATGCAATGTAAATTTTCCCAGTGAAAAATGCACACTTTCTTCCAAGTTTCACTTTGCTGCAAGCTCTAGTAATACTACAGTAAGTTAAAATCCTTGTTCAGAAGACAAAGTACAAAGCATTCAACTGAAAAAATCTTCTAGGCAGCCATGCACATCAGACCATCCTGTAAGCAGTTGTCCTTTTTCCTCAATTAAAATTCACAGCATACTTCACAGCTAGGCTGACTTTTCTGCATATAGTTAACTGTTTGCAAGCATTTGGATGCAGTAAATAAACAAGATGCTCAGCAGAGCTTGACTTGATCACTTTGTTTGTCAGATTTTTAAATGCAAGCTGCTCCTGTGTTCTCTCTGTTCTTTCTAGTCTTTCCTGTTAGCTCAGTTTGTTATTAGTCAGATTGCCAGGGGCTGGGAGGTAGGCGTAAATAAAGAGACTTCTTGGCTTTTGACTCAGCCTTTAAGCCCTTCCCCACCAGAGAGCTTTAATCTGCCAATGTCATTTAATACAAGATACAGCTCCACCTTGAGACAGATCAGCTCCTCCTCCTCCTGCAGTTTCTCTCACCTCCTTTTTCCCTTATCTAAGTGAAGCTCGGAAACTAAAATTCAACTAAATATCTTCTAGATTCCTTAAAGACTGTTAATGACTGATTTTGCAAAGCAACATACATCCACTACAGCTTTTGCTGTTTGTTCTCTTCGGTAGATCTTGCATTTGATTTGTATCTGCAAATGCTTGCCTTAGAAACCTTAAAGCATTCCAACCCAAATACAATCCACAAAACACACCACAAGGGAAACCCTGTCCTCTGGAAAATACGTCTATCACATTGAAGTGCAGAATTATTCAAGTATATAAATGAGATAGTAAAGCTCTCAATCCAGTCCGCTCAATGTGACTGGGATAGGGGTGAGTATCTACAGTTTTACATACTTTATTTCTCAAAAAGAATAAAAACAAATTGTGGAATATTAGTGCTTATGCTTGCACAGCAACTACCATCAGTCCTTTTTAATACTGTCCATCTTGTTCTGTAGGAAGAAGACTGGGTTGATTGTAATAGTCTGTTTTACAGATGTTGGTACAGTGTGTTGGTATCAGTCCATGTGAGATTGTATTGCATTTGCATGAAACATTGCTTTGATAAAAAAAGGTCTGGTTTGGGGGAGGACATTTTTAAAGGCATGTATCATGCTGGAAGTATTATTTTCTTTGTGCTCATAAACAAGAAATTAGCAGATACAGTAGGGCGACATGAAAATGTTTATTCTATGCAAGGAAAATTTTCTTTATCCCTCTTGCACTGCAAGGGGTGGTTTTATAAGCTGCAAATGCTTCTTGCTTGTTCATCCCACTGTCACAGAGCCACAAAACCTTCAGGTGAGCAACAATAGGTCTGGTGCTCTGGTGTAGTTACCCTCTAGAACATACCATTTCTGCTTTGTTCTTGTTCTGTCTTAGATTACTTGACAGATTGTTTACTACAGCCTCCAACCAGTCAGATTCCCATTACTGTTTTTGTACAGATAGCTCTCTAGATGGCCTTATTGTCTTTTGAAGGGGTATTGTAATGTTCTGTTCCATTTGATGAAGGCTATCAAGATCTTGTCCTATACTTATATCCACACACATAGACATAAATATTTATATATAGGCATATGCACATACATCTTATTAGAATGAGTTCCTCAGTACCTAATATTGCAAAGATAAAATATGAAATATAGTAAAATAATAAAAAAAATATGAAACACTATTTTTAATGAACCTTGCCACTCTATCTAGACTTGCAGACATTTTAAGGCTCAGAGGTTCTCAGCTATCTGTGACCAGCTAAATAAGTAATTATGTTCTTTGTTAATTTTGAATTTATGAATTTTAAGTCATATTATTTCTAATTTTTACAGGATATTTTACAAGTCTTTACACTTCACTTGTGGTTGGCTGTTTGAGATGGAGAATATCTGTATATAGAGGCATTCACACCAGAAGTGAAAACAACATCATTCTTTTCTTTTCAGGTGACATCCACAAGAATAAAACCTGATCACAAAAATATTTCCAGAAATCAACTTCTAAAAATAGAACAGCATTTCCTAACCTAACCGTACAGAATTAAAAATCAATGAGAATATTTATCAATATTTCTCTTTCCAAAACCTTCATATTTACCAGGTTTATTAAAATATGGCTAATGATTGTCTTTCTACCACAATTTTATGAATCATTAAGCAGATTATTATAAAGAATGGACATGCATGTCATGGACAGTGTTGAACTGACGGAGAGTTTGCATCTTGCACTTCAAATATTTGCCTTTATCAATTACTCTGACAATTTTAAATTTTGTGAAGCTTTAGAAATAAAATCTGAAACTGTCAGAGTTAGTTACTTCCAAAAAAGGCCTTGAGCTTCTATGTCATTCCTCTTTACCCTTTCAAAAAGGACTGCATCTCCATAGACCAGAAATGAGACCATACTCATATAACTATATATATATAGTGCAGATTTCTCGTTCAGTGAGTTTTTCTTGTCAATACAAGGTGTTGAGAAATTTCAATTTTCTTAAGCATGTAAATCTTGTATTAAAACCTTAAAAAAGAATGTTCTAATATTGGGTACCATGTTTTATTGAATTCTGTGTTATATGGTAAGCTGTGCAGGTTTCTTTACCTGTATAAATCTGAGAGGAAACATCTGATCCTGGATTATGTAATTTGTAAAGTTTGATATGGCCATAAAATGTCCCTGCAGACTCTCACTGAATCTATTGTTTTTTTCTGAGCAATACATCCCCTCTGTTCAGGAAAATTCTGAACACTACAGGGACACCCATAAGAAGCAGTGTAAAGGTCTCTCATACTCTTTCAGTCAAGACTCACTAATACTACATCTAGATTACTATGAAGAGTGTTCTCCATAAAAATGCTATTAATTTGCAATGTGGAAATTTGGCTTACAATTTACAGATTAGTCTTCCAAATGTGAATTTTCATGGTGGTCTACTCATTTATTTGTAATTTCAATGTTAAGAATATCAAGAGAAATAATAATTTTCATCTTCTATTTCAGTGGAAAGAAAAGGCCTCCTTCCCCATCATTCACAACTCGCCATCACTTCTCAGAATGCACGTGAGGAGCCATTGATTCAACACAAGATGTAGGAACCAAGTAATAAGTCCTCCCTTGCCTGCAAGGAGCTGCTAGTCCTTATCAACAACTCTTCATCTATATTTCTGGCAACATGAACCCTTTGAACTCTGAATAGGTACTGGTCTGAAAGCTTAAGATACCATACTGAAAGGAAATGTTTTCAGGGAACAACTAAGTAGCACTTAAAACTCATATATATAGTATACATGAAAATTGCATATAGAAGAACAGTCACCAAGGCTAAGACTTAACTAAGTAGGATCAGAGGACATGGCACATGCACATACACACGTATAAAACAAACAAAAAAAAACCCCATAATGTGACATAGCTATAATTATAGAAGCTACCAGTGACTACGATATTATTTAATTCAGATACAGAACACTTATTTTCCTCACAGAATTATTGTCCCTTTTTATGTACTGTGATAGGTCTTAATTCTGCTCTGAATACACTGTTTTTGTGGCTTTTTGCAGTCATGAACACATTGCAACTGTCAGTGCAGGTCAGGATTCCCCTCTAAAAGTCAGATGCAGGCTTAGGGGCTATTCTTCAAGAATTTAGTTTCATTTTTATATGAACCTTATTGAGAGACAATTCTCTGAAAAATCTCTGAAAAATATCTTCAATTTATAAGAAAACAATCAAGTTAAAGGAACAAATTTCTATTACCCTAATGCAGTTTCTAAGTACATTAACTTAGACCCATATATGCATGCCTAATATGCAAGTATACAAATTATAAAATCATGGAATCATAGAATGGTTTATGTTGGAAAGGACTTTAAAGATCATCTAGTTCCAATCCCCCTGCCATGAGTAGGGGCACCTTCCACTAGACCGGGTTGATCAAAGCCCTGTCCAACCTGGCATTGAACACTGCCAGGGATGGGGTATTCACAACTTCCCTAGGTGAATTGTACCAGTGCCTCACCACCCTCACAGTAAAGAAATTCTTCCTAACATCTAATCTAAACCTACCCGCCTTTAGTTTAAAGCCATTGCCCCTTGTCCTATCACTACATGCTCTTGTAAAAATTCCCTCTCCAGATTTCTTGTAGGCCCCCTTCAGGCATTGGAAAGCTGCTAGGGGGTCTCCTCAAACCTTCTCTTCATGCTGAACAGTTCCAAGTCTCTCAACCTGTCATTATAGGAGAGGTGCTCCAGCCCCGTAATCATCTATGTGGCTCTCCTCTAGACTCACTCCAACAAGTCCATGTTATTATGATGGGAGCCCCAGAGCTGTATGAAATGCTCCAAATCCTTCTCCTCAGGGTTGCTCTCAATACATTCGCCGTCCAGTCTGTATTTTTGTTTTGGATTGCCCTGACCCATATGCAGGAACTTGTTAAACTTTATGAAGTTTGCATTGGTCCACCTCTCAAGCCTGTCAAGGTCCTGCTAGAAGGAATCCCTTCCCTCCAGTGTGTTGACCATGTCACAAAACTTGGTGTCATTGGCAAACTTGCTGACAGTACACTAATGAGTGTAGTCCATGACACCAACAAAGATGTTAAACAGGATTGGTCCCAATACTGACCCCTGAGGGACACCGCTCAACACTGGTCTCCACTTAGACATCAAGCCGATGTCATTGCTCTTCCCTCATTCAACAATGCTGTAACCGCATCACAGAAGGCCACCAAAATTTTCAGGTATAATTTCCCCTTAGTAAAACCATGTTGGCTATAACCAATCACCTCTTCCTTTTCCACGTGCCTTAGCATAGATTCCATGAGGATCTACTCCATGATTTGTTGAGCGTAAGATTGAGACTGATCGACCTGTAGTTCACTGGGTCTTCTTCTACATATATATATAGCATTGTATGTATTGGTAATTACCATCATGCAAAAATCACATTCCCGGAAAGAAATTATTTCAAAGAAAGGCATATTGAAGTTAATGTTCTTTATATTTCATTTTTCACGTTAAAAAGTCATGTGGTCCTTTAAATGATCTGCTTTAGTGAAAAAAGCATTTTATCCTACTATACTTAACATCATGAGTCTAGCAAAATAGTGGATTCTTATTAGTTTAATAAAATATGCAATGGAAACAGATGAAACCAAAGTATTTTCTCTTGCATACTTCTTCTTTAATAATCCTGTTTTATTGTGCTAATCAGCTCATTGTAAATGTGTAAACATTTTTGTAATTTGCATTATTTCCTTCTTCAGTATCTGTGCAATAGGTCTTGAATCTTCTCTGAGTTTCTTTTTTTTTTACTATTGACAGAGAACTCCCAGTTCTGCATAATATAGGGAGAGTTTAATATCAAAGTTAAAGTCTCCTATCCTATTCTGAGATAATGCATCTTGTTGGTAAATTTTGGTGTTGGAGTGACAAAGGTTCTTTGATCTGAATCAACCTATCGGAACAGGTAGATTCTCCTTGCCTCTCCTCCTGAATTTGGTAATACTTGAACATCAATTAAAAAAATGCCTGTAGGTAACTGGTCTGTAGAGAACAAAAGTCACCTGAGTACGTGCCATCTTCAGTTACAATGAATCAGTTGCATATTTTTTAAAATGTACTTTGTTTGCCAATGGCACAAGAACACACACAAAGAAAATTGAGTCATGGTTTGGCATTGCACAGCATGCTAAGAGCGTAAAAAACTCTCTATTAATCGATTTGTACTCCTTTTATTAGTAATTTTTGCAAGCCCAGAAGCATTATTGTCCATTGCCCTTAATTACTGTAGGTTTAGACTGAGGTGATCCTCTCCACTATCACATAGGCATCTGAAACTTTTTTGAAGCTGAATGGAATAAAGTGTCTTTTTTCCATGTAGAAGAGAAAATCCAGCACAAAACCAACAAAATTTCCCTTGACTTCTTGGGACTTTTAATTCTGATTACTTTGAACTTCCAGCCAATATCATTTAAGGTATATTTCAATAAAATTTCATTTAAAAAAATACTTGCAAGTTTATATATGATATTTATGATTTACTTATTTTTTTTAAATGATATGTTACAGTCTGCCAATTAGTCGCCAAATGCACATCTAAGTAGTCAGCCTCAAATTATAGTTACAAATATTCCAAAAAAAGAATAGTCAGATTTCCTGGCTTTTATACCTGAGAGCATCTGACTGCCTAGCTCTCATAAAACTCTTAAAAAAAATCACCTCAGTACCAATAGCCAGTGCAATCCAAAGGTATAAGAATTGTGTAATGCTTTTTAAATAATGGGATATTTTTATCTTCTGTACCACACCTTTTTGAAAGCAAAATTGCTTGGTCTTCTGTTGCAAGGCTGGAGATTATAGAAATACACATACAGATGCTGTATGAGTTTTCAATTTACTTATGATGTTCTTTTTTAAAATTACAACTGAAATGTTCACAGTTCCAGATGAACTGTTAACTTTCAATTAATCTGACAATAATTTAAAAGTTTACTAGTAGCACACAAAAATGCAGACATGCTAATATGTCATAAGCTTTTTAAAGGAAAGGAAAAGAAGTAGAAATAATCTCTGAGTGTTCAGTAATCAATAATCAAAACAGGATAGTTTACATATGGGGGTTTTTTTGGTGTTACAAAATTACTATTCTTAGTCTTTCTCAATAAATATGAATAAGAAAACACGAAATATTGAAATTGCTGGGTAAAACCATTTTCTTTCCTTTTGTCTATGAATAATGCATTAATATTTAACATTAGTATCCTGTTAAACACAAATGAGTTTGTGCATGCTGACTACGCCTAAACCTATTCATGATAATGCGTGCCTGTGCCTAACCTAATTATACATTAAATGCTACTACTGTTCCACAAAATCCAGATAAAATGGATTATATCAGGCAACGTGGAAAAACACCCAAAGAGTAAAGCTTGCAGTAGTCATTCAAGTTTGATATTTTGCCAGATTGCAAATAACCAGAGCATTCAAATACTTTCTCTTGAGGGTACTATGCAAAATTCACAGACCCAACACAAGTCTAGTGAACTAATGAAAAAAGTTCTGCTTTGAAGGAGATTTTCTCTTCTTTCTGAGGATGCATATCCTTTACAGAGGCACTGACCTGTTTTATGAAGTCTAACTTTGAATATGTAATATAGGAACTGAAGCAAGTGAGACCCATGTCAAAGAATGCTCCTTGAATCTGTAAAGTCATAAGTGTTGTACAAGAGAGCAGTAGACCTTGACAGCTAGTAATATGCCCCTCACCACTCTAACTTCTCAGTACAGGATTGATGTGAGCTAATCTTCAGTCTAAAAGCACATTAGTTAAATCCAAGTTCATTGATCTATTGTCCTTTTTTTTTTAATGTGTGGACATATCAGGATTAATTTGTCTTGTCTACATTAAGATGCCAATCTTTGGAATGCACCACTCTGGAAGTCACTGTAATTTATTGAGTTATCTAAAACTTAGCCCTTTAATCCTAAGGTTCATCTGCCGGGGCCCAGGCTGTGTCTCACCTAAAAAATCCATTGCGCAGGCTGGAAAGGTAAAAAGACCTTTCCCCAAATCTTCGTTCGCGAAGATGGGCCATTATTATTATTATTATAAAACTTAGCAGGTAATAGTGCATGCTAGGTCTGCTTAGGATGGAGTCATTCTTCACAGCAATCTATAGTGTATAGTGCTACGTTTTAGATTTGTGACTAAATCAGTGTTGATTATATGACAGTGTTTTGACTACTTCTAAGAAGTACAGTGTAAAGGTTTCCTGTTCTTCCAACTCTGCCCCACCTTGTTCAAGTTGGGAGTAGGCAAGAGGTTGCAAAGGGACATAAGACAGCTGATCCAAACTGGCTAAAGAGATACACCATACCATATAGTGTGATGGTCAGCAATAAAGAGTGAGGAGAGGGACATTTTTTGGAAAGTACCTGTTGCTCAGAGACAGGCAGTAAGTGATGTTACCACTCATGTGAGGTGGTGAGTGATCATCTTTGTATATTTTTTTTCCACCTCTTTCCTTCATTTATTGAACTATGTGTATCTTGACCTATGTGATTTTTTTTCTTTTCCTTTTTTTATTCCCTTCCCCATCCCTCTGGGGATTGGAAGTGAGCAAGCGGCTGTATGCTGCTTAACTGCCTAGATGGTTAATACACAACAGGGAGGGACAATAAAACTCCCTGTCTCTGAATTCATAGTATCCATGTTCCTCTTTTGCACAATATCCGTGTTGTCAGGCTTTTCAGTAACTGGTGGAACTGGAAAAAAAAATCTCCTTATTTTGACTTTACTTTCAAATGTCTGTAGATAAAGTCACTGTTCTCTGGTGCAGTTGCTGCATCAATGAGTAAAAACCACAAGAGAATTGGGCTCTAATTGGAAGTGTACCACCTCTAAAAAATCTGAATATACCTGACTACAGAATCAACTCAGGAAAGATGTGACAGATCCGTGCTCTGTCCACGCTCTTACGTGCAGCTAACTTCTTGAGGATATTTTCTTAGCTTTATATTCTGCCACGTAACCATATTCCTTGTTTCCACTCACACTATTATCACGCAGCAAATAGAGCACATTAAAGAAACTTAATCTACTAGATTTAGAACTCACTTCAGTCATTCTGTCAAAGTGGGAAGGAGACACAAACCTACATCTGCTAATGAACTCGGTTTTGGCTTTTATTCTCAAATAGCCATTTATTTTTAGAAAGCTACTTTTAGAAATGTAAGGGTCGTGTTAGTCACTATAGAAATAAATGCATTAGGTTGAATAAAAATGCAATCAACAGAGTAGGAAGTATACAATTTCCTGAATTAAAAAAATATTTTAGAAGTTTCCAGGGGATTTCCCTTTATTCAGGAAAGCGCACAGCTGTATCTAAGCCCATTTTTTTTCAGAAGATATGTCAGATTTCTCCTTTAAAAATGTATGCCTAAGGTGCATAAAAAGTATTAAAAAGCATTGAGGTGGTTTTTTATCACTTCAGCATGCTATATCAATAGCTTACCCTGTAATTTTGATGGCACAAATGGGAGTCACATGGCTGAGTTCTATTTACAAAAGAGGAATGGGCTTATATAATTTTATTAAGTATTATTCTTTATAATTTTTATTTAGACAGATGTGGACTCCTGCTTCTTTTTATGCAGTCAGATAATGCAGGCCAAATGAACCTTTGTGTTCACTCTTGAGGTAAGAATAGAAATTTTTATTCATATAAGACTGCATCTTACCTTGAACTGTCATTTGTGGTTCAGATATCCCGATTTCTTATATGGACTAGGAAGAATATTAGTAGAGCAAAAGCAGACATTTTTATTCTGTAAGAGGGAAGAAAATCCTCTTCAGGACGAAGAAAGAAAAATTCAATTTAGTGTCCTCAGGGGTGAGGGATAAGGACAAGAGTGAGAATATTTCCACTGAAGAAAAATGCAGAAAGTAGGTTGGGAAGAGTGAACTTCCTGTTCTTTCTTCTATTGAAAGAGATCAGAATAGGAGAAAGTAGTGACTTTATTGAGAGAGTTCATCTCACCAGCTGTGATCAGGTTGTTGCACACCTTTACCTTTCCTCAGTGACACTGACAGATACAATAGGCAGGAATATATACATTATTTCTCTGTCCAAAAATCTATTGTCCGACACACTACCTGTTAAGTACCTTGCCTGTGTATGTCGTCTCCTATGAACACTTAACCTCATTTTTATGTGGGATTTTATAAACAAAGCAACTTTGTTTAGAACCCATAGTAAGGGCAACTTCTGAATTCTGACTTGTCCATAAATCTTTA